ACTTAATTATGTAAATTTTAGATGAATACAAAAAAAATCAAATAAATAGTTATATTAGGATGAGATGGTGAAACTTAGAAGGCAGTAAACTATTAGTTTTTTGGGTCAGTTGCTCAGAAAAGTAAATCCCAACTTCTTAGTTAAGTCAATTATGACGTGCATAAGATGGCTTACTCTATCAAGGTTACTAATAGGATTATGATGTGAAAAAATCAACCATAATTCTCCCCAATTATCCTTGCCAAAGAACTTGACTATTTAACTCTATTTTTATGAAGACATCTTTATTCCTTATGAACGGGTGATCAGTGGGTAAGAACATTCGATAACAATCGAACAATGAATTTTCCCCTTATGTTTTAAAGTAAATGCCTTTGACAGATCTATACAGTAAGGACAAACCAATTTTCCCACAGCGCTCTAACTTGATATCAATCTCATATATTGGAAAATCACATATTATCCATATCAAAGCAACTTTCAAGTGTATATTTTGTTTCGTAGCAATATCATTAGTCACCATTCATGTTTCCCATAATGTTTGAAGCTCATGTACTAAAGGTTGCAAGTGCAAATGAATATTCTTTGGGGCTATGTAAATTTGTACGATCAACTTCAGAAACTAAAAGGCGTGGTCATGCTTATATCAAGTGGAAAGTTATGTCATAAATTGATTGTATGTTGTGAGCTCATCTGATCAAACCTAACATCGTGTGATTCGATTGTAAACTTAGGATATGTATGATCAAAATATTTTGAGGCTTCTCCATCTGTCAGATGACTCATAGAAGTAGTATCCCCAAATTTATTCTGGTGCATTGTCATGTGATGAGTTACATGCACTGAGGGGAAAAGTCTTTAAAGATGGGGAATGAGCGGCATGTAGTAGATGAAATTTTTTTTACTTTTTGGTTTGAATATCTCAGCACCACAAAATCTACGTTGCATCTGTCTTACAATACAACATATAATCATTAACACAATAATCTATATTCTTTAATATATCTAACCTCGATTTTTTTTATTCTGTAGAGGTCCTTTGGAACTAATTTTTTTAGGGATTGTCTCTTTTAGTTATGTTCAATTTGGTTAAAACAATTTCTAGATAAATTGTAATATGATATATTGTAATCTGATTTAATACTCAACATTCTAAGCGCTATTGACAACCTTGAATGCGTGGTGCAATCTTTCCACAAAGACCGTTGTGCGACATTCAATAAATTGTAGAATTTTCATGTTTCATTGGTCGGTAGATTTAATCTCAGAAATGTTCTCAACAATCATTTCTTCAAATATGTTATGATCATATTCAGTTGGAGGGGTAGGGCTTGATGAAGCACCAACAGATCTTACTGAACAGTTGGTTCATACTCTTCATGTGCAGTCTAGTACCAATCATTATGTTAAAAGTACTTACAATATAAATCTACCTCGACTTCGTTCGTTGTTAGGATTGCTTGATTGTTGTGATTCACACATGAGCATCGAAACTTACCTTTTGAAAAACAAGTATTAAGTTGTGATGCCACTTGCACAAAATACTCTACACCATTCAAGAATTTATCAGTGAGTCATTTTGTACTTGGATACAATCTACCATACATCAATAACTTTAAATCTCGAATATCTATTAATGCCCTATATATGGGTTTAAAGATGAAGACATTTAACATAGACCTTTTCATACATAGTTGTGTATGGAAACTATTCAAATATGTGTGTGTTCATATATCCTAAATGCTTGTGTAATTGCATCAAGGCATTTATATACATACCAACCAATTCTTAGCATATCTACACACATACACACATACCACCTAATTCTTATGTACTTATCTAACACCAAACTTATAATATATACATTCATATCACCCTATGTGTGTGTAAAATCTTACATTAATCAGTTGTATTCCTATATTCAGAGTGAGAAAAAACAAGTGTGTGTGTCTCTGTAAAATCCAACATTAATGAGCTGCATTCCTATAGTGAGAGTGAGAAAAAATATTTTTTTTAACGAGAATAATTTCATTTTTAAAGAGTAGATCGTATTAAGATTTATAATTACAAAAAATAAAAGTAAAAAACCGTGAAAAGAGGGTTGTGAACAAAATTAGTAGATATGTTTTGATGATTTGTATAATGGATTTGACATTAAGAAGAAAATGAAATATAAACTTGTTAAGATAAGAAATGAAAGATATGAAGACATTCAATAACAAAAACAACAAGCCTTTATCCCACTAAGCGTGGTCAGCTACATGAATCTTTTTGTCTCCATTGCTTCCTATTGAGCATCATATTTTCATTTAATTCTAATAGATTAAGATAATTTTTTATACAATATGCCCAAGTCTTTTTAGGTCTACCTCTGTCCTTTTTAACATAAGTCGAATTTAAAACATCTACTCTTCCAATAGGATCATCAGATGGTCCACGTTTAATGTGACCACATCTTCTAAGACAACTCTCTAATTTTTTCTATTACTAGAGCTAAACCAATCCTATTATGGATATATCCATTTCTTATTTTGTCTTTGAGTGTCAAGCCACTCATCCACCTAAGCATTCTCATCTTAGCAACATTTAACTTTGTTTTATGCATTTCTTTTAAAGGCTAACATTCTGCGCCATCGAGCATTGCAACTCTCACCACCGTTTTATATTTTTCTTTCAGTCTAAGCGATACTTTTCTATCACACAATAGGCCCTATGCATTCCTACGTTTTAACCAAGGAACTTGAATTCTACTAATAACATCCTCATCTATATCACCATCACTTCTAATAATAGATTCGAGATATATAAAAAGTTCACACGTTTTAATAATTTGATCACTCATAGTTATAACTCTGTCACTGGTGCTACTTTACTAAAATTACATTCCTTGTATTCAATGTTCGATCTAATCAAACTAAGGCCTTTAGACTCTAATGTAGACCTCCATAATTCAAGTTTTTCCTGAACTCTTTCTCTAGTCTTTTCCACGAGAAGAATATCATTAATGAAAAACATACACCAAGATGCATCCTCCTGTAAATATCTAGTAAGATCATCCTTAACTAAAGCAAAAAGATATGGGCTTAAAGCTGATCCCTGATGTTATCCATCTGAAATAGAAAAATATTTGGTCAATCCTCCTATTCAAATACAAGTAACAGCTCTAGTATACATTTCTTTAATGACTTGAATATAAGTGATATCAACATCTTTCTTTTCTAGAACTCTCTAGCGGACTTCTCTTGGAACCTTATCGTAAGTTTTTCTTAAATCAATAAAAATCATATGTAGATCCTCTTTATTCTTTCTGTACTTCTCCATTAAACTTCACAATAGATGTATAGCTTTCATAGTGGACCTGCCAACATAAATCTAAACTAATTATGAAAAATTTTAGCATCACATCTTAACTTATGTTCAATTATCCTCTCCCATAATTTTAAACTATGACACATCAACTTAAGTCCTATATAATTTGCACATTTATGTTCATTCCCTTTATTCTTAAAAATGGGGACCAAAATAATCTTTCTCCACTTAGGAATCTTAATAGTTTTTAAAATATTATTAAAAGTTTAGTAAGCTAAGAAAATCTCAAATTTTCTAAATATTTCCACATTTAAATTAGGACATCATCAGGTCCTGTTGATTTTTCACCCTTGATTTTCTTTAAAGCCTCATCAACTTCTTTTTTACTAATGCAACGATAAAAATAAAATCTTTTATTATTATTAACGATATTAAGATCACTAAGATTGATCGTATTTTTCAAAACTTCATTGAAAAGTTTATCAAAATTACTCACTCACCTATATTGAATATCTTCTTTTAAGAAAATAACTTTTTCATTTTCATTTTTAATCTTTACTTTTCTTTTATTTTTTGTTTGGCTAAATTATACATATATTTTTCACCCTGTTTAGTTTCTAATCTATTATAAAAATCACTCAAAGTAGAATTTTTGACGTCACAAATTATTCTCTTAGACTCTATACTACCTATTTTATATTTTTACAATTCGCTAAGCTTCTACATTTAAACCAATTTTTATAACATAACTTCTTATATTTTATATTTTATAGCATATTATTATTCCATCACCAATTTTTTTTTTATTTACAAAAACTTTCCCTTTTGATTCTCTAAGTACAGCTTTTGTCACTTGTTTAATAGTATTTATTACTTTATCTCACATTGAATTCGCCTCTTCATGAATACCCTAAATCTTTAAATCTTGAAGTTTACTCATAAAAATAATTTTATTTGTCTTTTAGGTGCCCCCATCTATTTCTATGATAATATTTTCATGTATTTTTTTCTCACAATTCTTCATCTTAAAATTCAGAACTAATAGTCGATGTCAAGTGCTTAAATTTTTACTTGGAATGGCCTTACAATTTATACAATCTCGACAATCTTTTTTCTCATAAGAAAATAATCAATTTGTATTTTATTAGATTCATTCTTATAAGTAATAATATGCTCATTTCTTTTCTTAAATATAGAATTAGGAATAACAAAATCATACGCTAAAGCAAAATCTAATATAGTTTTGCTTTCTTCATTAATCACTCCAAAACTATAGCCACCATGAATATTTTTAAAATCTTCTACCACTCGACCAATATGTACATTTAAATCTCCTCTAATAAAAATTCCAAACTATAGTATCAATTTATCTTCTTATAAGCTATCAATTTGCGTCGCTTTCAGGGGACACCCTAGCATTTACACAAGGATTTAACTGATTCATGCCATGATTTTTCTATAAATTTTATGTTTGTCGATTATCTAATGCAATGCTCCACTTTTTGCATCCAGGATTTGAGACCCTGCAATGACAGTGTTAAAGATTTTAAATGAATAGAAAAGAAGATAAAGAAGACCATTTTGAAATTTAATTTCTAAAATACATCCTCTGGCAAATGTTAATAAGATCCATGTTTTTTTTTTTCTTATATGCAATGGATTATCCCTAAACCGTTCATCTTTTTGTGCAGATAGACAACTATCCTGCACTTCTGTTTTATCCTGCTGGAAGTAAATCAAACCCGGTATGCACTTGAACGAAATGAATTCTAATTCTTCAATTTCAGAACATATTTTAATTTTATAGTTCTTAAATATGAGCAGATCAAACTCTCCAAAAAGTCCAGCACAAAGGAATTGGCAGCCTTTATAAAAGAAAATATGAAATCGACAGATGGAAATATATCAAGCCAATCAAATTTAAAGAAAGACGAATTATGAAATATATTATTTGAAGAAGAATGCAGAGCAACATCGAAGGTGAGCTCTTATTCAACACCACATACATGCCTTATGTCAAAATAATAGGAAATGCTAATCTATGATGTCAGATGATGCTATAAGGCTTAAATATTACTTTCTGGTATTAGATCCGTGGGATTTTTATACTTATTTTTGGTTATTTTTTATGATAAATTGGCATGTAAAATAATTCTTTTTCCTTCTTTAGATATCTAATAGTTGGTCTTTTTTTTCCTTTTGGCATAATTATATTTTAAAAATATTCTTAAGGTAATTTGCTTCTTTTTTGTCAAACATCATCAGAATAGTATATGGAGAAACTCATTCCGTTGATTCATTATCTGGGCAAAAGTTTTGATATTTTACTCTGTTGTCAGGACTTCTATGTAGGGGTGTAAATGAGCCGAACACGAGTGAGCCCTCGTTTATATTTCGAGCTCAAAAAGTGTGTTCGTCTTCGGCTTTTTTGCTTAACGGGCTGAACACGAGTGGTTCACGATCAAAGAGTCATTTTGACAAACCTAATCATGTTGCCATAAGATGTAAAGAGTTGGGGGCAAGATTTAAAAATTATTGTTTATATTAAAACATCTTTTGAATATAATTTAATAATTTTTATTCTATTTTCTTAATTAATACTTTTAAGTGATTATAAATCATTGTAGCCTTGTAGTCAATTATCTTTTTTAAAAGTACTACTCATCAATATATATATATATAATTGATGTGTGTAGTATTTCGAGCCAAAACAAGCCGAACACGAACGTACAAATCTTTGTTCGTGTTCGGCTCGTTAACTTAGCGAACGAGCTGAACACGAGCCGTTAGTGAACAACGAGCCGTTTTGATAGCCCTACTTCTATGCCCACTTTTGTATACCAAATTTTAGTTGCAGGCCATGTCATTTCGAAGGTAATTTTGTCTTGACAAATTTATGCAATATTAATTAATTGTATATGATTTTTATATTTGTCAGAACTCTATTATAATTTCTTCACCTTTGGTTGCATATGCATATTTTTGTCTGATAGTTAATGAATATCATAACATGGCTTTCATTTTTCAAAATTTGAGTTGATCTTTGGGAAGCATTATGTTATCTATAATGTTGTAAAATCTAGTTTAATTGATGAATATAACTATTGCTATTTGGTGATTATGATGTTCCTGTTCTCAAACTTTGACAAGTTTTGTGCCGCAAAACTATTGTAAGGGTGTTGATGCTGAGTTCTGAACTAGCCCTGGACAAATTTTATTAATATGTTTTATATAAATTGATTTATTTTCTTTTTTTTTAGTGTGTAAGATAATTGTATATTTGAGCATAACATTTATTTGGGGCACTTCAATAGATAAAACCCAATTCTTATTTATTTACATAACTAACTCTTAAAACATTTATATTTACATGCATAACTTTGAAATTTTTAACATCACATCCAAAGTAACATGCACTATGTTCTAACAAGTGAAATGTACATTTTTTGGCATTGGTTTATGGCACTAATATGGTATAAGTGTTAATATCAAACTTTAGGGGTTAGATGTGTAAATAAACTAGAATTGTGTTTTGTATGTATGTAAATTTCTCTATTTATTTTTTTGCATTTTTTTTTAATTTTTTTTTGTTTTATAATTATAATGAAACATAAAAATGAGTTGTATACGACTTTGTTTGTAGCTATGCAGATTTTCTTTTTGTTTTGTTTTTTTTTTTTAGAAATTTATTATTATTATTATTATTATTATTATTTATTATTATTATTATTATTATTTTATTTTGTTGTTTACACAATTGCGAGCTATTGTCAAGTCCGAAGCCCGGGATGCAAAAAGTGTAGTTATTATATATAGTCAAATACTAGCATTAAAATTTATCAAAAAAATCATTACATAAATCATGCGGATATTTACAGAAGGTATTTACAGAAGGATGTAACTGTAACTTGGTGTATGTTTTTCGCTAATGATATTCTTCTTCAGGATAAAAGTAGAGTTTAAGAAAAACTTGAATTAGGGAGGTCTACATTAGAGTCTAGAGGTTGTCGTTTGAGCAGATCTAAAATTAAATAAATAGAATATAGTTTTAGTAGTAGTAGATATGGGGGTAGTGTTGTAACCATGGTTGATAAAATCATTAAAATGTGTAAATATTTTAGATACCTTGATGATGAAATAGATGGGGATGCTATTAATCGAATTCAAGTTGGATGGTTGAAGTGGAGGAATGCATTGGGCTTATTGTGTGATTAAAAAGTATCTCTTACTTAAAAGGAAAATTTTATAAGATGGTGGAGAGACCTGTAATGCTTTATGGTGTAGAATGTTGGCCTTTAAAAGAGAAGTATAAAACCAAGTGTTGTTGGGATGAGAATGCTTAGGTGGAGGAGTGGCTTGACACAAAGACACAAACAAATGTATCCGTGAAAGGGTTGGTGTAGCTCTAGTGGCAAACAAGATTAGAGAGAGCTGTCTTAGATGGTTTGGTCACATTAAATGCCGACCACCTAATGATCCGGTTAGGAGAGAATGCTTTAGATTCACTTATGTTAAAAAAGGTAGAGGTAGACCTAGAAGGACTTGGGCGTGTTGTATAAAAAAATGATTTTAATTTATTAGAACTAAATGAAAGTATGACACTCAATAGGACTCAATGGAGAAAATGGACTCAAGTTGTCGACCCCACTTAGTGGAATAAAGACTTGGTGTTGTTGTTGTTGTTGTGTACCTAGCTGCATGCAAGAAATATATAATTTGTGTTATACACAGTTGTATGCAAGAAATAAATGATTTATGTTATACACGGTTGTGTTCAACCTAGACACTTAAAAGAGTACTGTGCACAAGCATGTACAATAGTTACGAGTAATTATTACCATGTTTTATGTTGTACATACATAACACCTAAAATTTTCCATTTCTTTTACATTTATACCACCCAAATCTTTCATATCACAAGAAAAATCTCTATTTTAATTTTTTAAAATTGAAAAACGCATTTTCATGCATAGGTGACATCACTCTCGGGCTTCTATAAGGTGCTAAGGAAGGAGATTCAATAAGGAAGTGGTTGTGTTCTAGTAAGGGAAATGATGATATGCAAGTTCAATAGTGTTTGAATGGGGATAGGCATTGTTTGGCAGCTTTCATGGTTGAAAACAGTAAAGAGAACTCTGAAACAATGATGCAAAAACAATAATGAGGTTCATCACTAATTCATGCAAAAGCTACTAATACCATTAATAAAGGGAGGTGATACAATATTCTTTAGGTAGATAACATATATTACAATCCAAAGTACTCAATTCTCAAATCAACTAAATGCAAAATATGAGAAAGTTTCATAATAAAAAATAAAGTTAATTAGAAATAAGTAAATTGAAATTAATTAAATAAGCCAAGAAATTCCCCCTTGCAGTTGTATTAGGACAAAGTCTACTTGGATCGAGTCTCTCACAAATGTGAAAGCTCTGATTTTGCGGTATAGCAGAATTTTCGCGACAGGGAGTCGTGTGATCTTTGATCCAGTGACTTTAGTGAAACACACATGTCATTCTTCCTAGCTACTTCAGCTTCTTTATATATTTCTATAATTTTTCTACCACTACCATAATAAAGTCATCATCTTGTTGTTTTTGAGGCAACTCCATTAGTTCTGCTGGAATTTCTCTCATGATTTCTTCTTGAATTACTATCATATATCTCTTTTTGGCTAAAAGCTAATATTTCTCTATGATGTCTTCATTCTCCCTTGTATCATTATTCATTTCTTCAATTGCTTTCTACTCAGTAAAAGAGATCACCCTCATATTTGGTCAATCTAGCGCAAGGTGGCCAAAATCATGACACATGAAGCATTTTCTAGCTATGATGAATTTGGAGTGACGACAGTCTAAATTTTTCTTCAATATGGATTTGTTTCTCCTTTTTTGAGGTCGACTTGGGAGATCCATTAAGTATACTCTTGCTGCCTAATCCGATAAAAGACATTGTTTGAAGGATTGCGTGGACTTGATACTTTTGTGTTGTCTCTCTACCTTTAGGGATAGGATTTGGACACCTTGTAATTTCTAGTAGGCTTATAACTGTATCACGTTGTCAATGGATGGTCTTTAATCCCCCCAGATGTTGAGCAATGGTGTTCTATTAGGACTCTACTAAGTTACACTTCAACATAAGCTGCCCAAACTCAGTGGTATACTCCTCAACTGAGAGATCTTTTTTTTCTAATTGGTGATGTTTCAAGAGCATATATTGTATGTTATGTGCTAATATATACTTATATTGTGTCTCCTTTTTCATCTTTGATCAAGCTTTTTCCCTTGGCACATGCACTTCAAATTTTTCCACTATAGAGACATGCACTTCTTTTACTTAATGATGGTTAGTTTTACCCTTATGTTCGATGAAACATCCTAGTACTCAAAGACTCATTCCACGATGAATTTGTCTGGATTCATGTGACCATCAAAATCTTGTAAGTTAATCTTCACTCAAGATTCTAGCTTATCCTCTAATATTATATACCAAATGTCAGGGTATTGGTTTTCTTCATTGAAAATGTCATAGTGGAATGGATTTACTTCCTCCCCTCGGTCAAGTGTGTCACTGTTGTGATTATTAGTTACCTCTCTGGGTTGCCTCCTATCAAAGGTAGCAAGCTTTTATTGCAGTTAGAGAATTTTCCACTATATATGATATGTAATAAGTACATAAACATATCTCTATAGATTTCTTCTAGTTTGTATTGTTTCCTTTTCTCTTGATCAAAATTTTGACGGGTGTAGGGTTGTAAATTAAATGTTGGTCAAGGTTTAGAGTTTTAGTGGTAGGTGTCGAGGTGGAATTTTGGTCGAGGTAAGATGATCCGCTTTTGAAAATTTAGAGTCTGGGCTAAGAATTAATATAAATTTTTAGGGTACGGGAGATTTATTTATTTATTTTTCAAAGTTTGTATGTGTCGTCACTATTTTTGGTATGGGGTTTGCCCGTAAGAAGCTGTCGGTCATCGGAATTGAAATCTCGTTGCCCGCTTCGGAAGGACATTTTTTTTTAAAAAAAAAATTTTAGTTTTGAAAAAAATGAAGTCAAACTGACCCCATAATTTTCATAGTTTAAATGAAAGAGCGCTTTACCTCAAATCCTGTATCTATCCCGAAGGATGAACACAAGAATTGAGGGTGAGGTTCGATCAAATAAACTAGAGAAAGTTATGACA